CTCTCTCTCTCTCTCTCTCTCTCTCTCTCTCTCTCTCTCTCTCTCTCTCTCTCTCTCTCTCTCTCTCTCTCTCTCTCTCTCGCGAGCTTTCAAACCACGAATGGAATAGTCACGGTCGATAGTCTTCGTGCCGGAAGAAAGGGAAACTTTTGAAAGTCATTGCTTCTTTCATTTTTTCTCAATTTGATTTCTTCTTAATTCTCGTCTCTTCTCTGTCTTTCTTTCATTTTTATACGTTTTTTCGTGTCGAATTTATAACTCGTCCCGGTATATTCGTCCGCTCTTAAGACGGCAAATCTTGCAATTCCTGCTTCTGCTGCTCTTTACCGATATTCTCTGCCTCCCACACCGTATCCGGAAGTTTCGTCCCCAACGTTTCCGGGAAGAACAAAGAGAGCAATCCTGCGGATAGCGCCATACATCCAAAAAGTATCAATGGTAATTCGGGCATAAATTGTGCCTGTGAAATATAAAAATAATTGTGTAAATAGATACAAAAAAAAAAAAAAGAAAACTAACTATTCATTTTATTTGCTAGCAATTGTTTTTGAAAACGGAATCATGGACAATATAACATTTTGATTGAAAAATAAAGATATATGATACCTCCTAAATGGATGATAATCAATCAATAATCAATGTAACGATTTCACAATGCAACATAAATAAAGTTACACAAAAGATAAATGATACGTAAAGACATATCGGAGAATCTTTGCCATATTGTTTGAAGTAGTATGCAAACAATCAACAAGCGGTCCGTATCGGTCTACGCGATGTACATTCTTGTGGTAGTTGACTCACCAAAAGAGGAGTTTGCGGTGACAATATTGACCCCATGCGGCCAGTCATGCTGCAAATTCCAAGGAGGGAGTGTCTCAAGTTTGTAGGAAACAGTTCCGCTGTGTAAATGTAAATCGTCGAGAAGGACATCGTAATGCACCATTTCCCGCCCATGTACAGAATCAATGGTAGAAAGCTCAATGAATCTGGAATAGATAATGGAAATTAATGTACCGATATTTTGTAATTAACCGATGTTTTTGTAATTAATCAAAAGTGTTCATAGCGCTGTAAATTACAAGTGAGGAATTTCAAGGATAAATGTGTGTTTACCTGTCGGTACAAATTGTATAGCAAGGCAAAAAGCTCCGCTCAGCAAGAAAGACGAGGAGAGAGTAGTTTTACGGCCGATGTAATCGGTCAGAAACCAGGTCAAAAAGTAAGCCGGGATTTCCACGATGGCGACCAATATGAAATTAACGTATTTGTCACCAGCGAAAGCCACCGAGTTCAACGATAATCCATAATAGACGAAAGTGTTTGTCAACCAGCAAAACGAGCACACCAATAGCCGAGTGAGCATCATCGAGCTATTCAATATTTGCATAATCGGTGACTTCTTTTCGGTTACTATTTGATCCGTCTGAAAAATAAGATAAATTTAATCAATTAATTAATTTAATTCGGTTTTATTTAAAAATTGTCGTACCTTCTCAGTCTTCACCATGTTCAAATCTTTGAACGCTCCGATCGCCTCTTCTGAGATTTGAAGCCCGTTTATACGCGCCATTTTTCGATATATACTCTCCACCTTTTCGTGTTTCCCATTCGCCAATAGCCACCTTTAAAATGGCATCATTGTGTGTGTGTGTGTTTTTTTTTGTTTGTTCATTCATTTTTTTTTTTTTCTACAGTAATGGGAAAAACGATAGTTTTTACGCTTGTATAGGACACGCTTTATCGATAACCTATGGCGTACACAAAAAAAGGAACGAGATAAGAAAGTGATTCGCTAAAATGATACGAAAACCTAAGATTATAAGCGGCCTACGCACGCGTTAATTAATCAAAGAGAAAAAGAGAACCGGATCCAATTAAATATGTAATGACATGAAAGGTTCACCGGTTAATCGACTGGAAACGTCGTGAAACGTAATACGCGCGACTTTCTCCGGTTTAAAGAAATTCTTTTCGAGATCGTTAACGAAGACAATGCGAATTAAGCAATCAAGCAAGGAAAATTACCTGACTGATTCTGGGATAAGGACTGGCAATAAAATGGCAAGCAATGCCGGTCCGTACACCATGCGAAGGATCAATCTCCATGATCTAAGCCACATCGCTATCAATCCGAGTAACATCTCACCGACTGCGAACATGCAGCAGATAATTGTGCTGGCTAATACTCTGCCTCTTACCCCTGCCATCTCCATCCCTGAAAATCGATCAATATTGAGTCTGATTCACTTCTAAGGAATCGGTTTCTTTCATGAAATTGCACGGTATAGATAGTTTTACTATATCGTAAAATTATTAGAATTACTCCATGCAGTATGTTCCGTATATACTATATCCCATACTTCGAATGAAATATCGAAGGAATTACAGGCGTGGCAATGGCAAACCGAAGAACCGACCATGGTTACAGTTACCTTCAGTTACGTTTTTCGATATCGAAAGGTTCCTGCATCGAGTAGTCGTTGGCATGTGAAACATGGCCGTTATTTATATCGGCATTATTCACGTCCAACATCTTCCCTTACTTTGCCTCGTTATTAACTCACCTAAAATAAATCCAGCGCTGTAGATACCGGCCGCGACAGTCGCGTCGATAAATTCGAACGCGAGAAACATCCAATAATTCACGGAGAAGGAATGTATCAGACCGCTGATTCCGCTCAGGGATGTGGTGAGCGTCAGTATCGTGCGTCTTCCATATCTGAAAAGTAACAGAATCATATATAAGCGGACAAGTTTCGCGGCGATGGTGATTCTTCGACTTCTTATCGTCGACGAAATAAAAAAACTCTTGAAACTCTTCGACGATGTTTTTCGATAAACACACGAATATGAAGAAGATTTTTGACATCGGTACGAGAAATTGCCTCGAAAACGAGGGTGTCTCGAGAAACAACCAAGCCAAGTTCGAATCGTTATCATAGATCTCGGCAAGTTGGTCCAAAGTACAGTTTCATTTAAATACATTCCCCCCTCTGGACGATCTCAAGTATTCCCCGACTTCGAATTAGAATTTGCGATCCAACCAACTCGTGAAAGTCTCGTCCGTTTCAGAGTTTCCGATTCCCTGGTGACTCTTGAGCACGTGCCATAAAACGGTGTAAAAACCGAGCTTTCTCAAATTCGAGCTACGTAGAACGGATCCGGCAAAAAGTTCATAGATCACACCGCTCGGTTTCCTACATTTCGATTTCATCGGATTATCGGCCATCTTAACCATCTCTGATATTTTTATCACGTTTTACGAGAGGATTTCGATAGATGGACATCAACGACCTGTTGAATCCGATCGAATCCTCTCTCGAACTGAAACGTTACACCCATCGAAAAACCTCTATTTCATACCCTTCCTGGATCGAACGTGGTTAGATACCAAGAACCCCATTTTCTGGATCTGATCCGATCTAATGAAAGCTAATTAAGGATCCTTCGAAGTAAATTTCGATGTGATTATTTCTCACCTGTCTGATATATAACCGGCGAAGATCAACCCGACGAACTGACCGATGTTATTCACCGTGCCCACAAGAGTGAGTTTCCATCGATTGGTATCACAAGTGAGATCCCACTAATAACGATAGAATAACGAATAACGAATCAGTTTTTTTTCGAATTAGTTAATTTTAATTAATCGATCAAAGGATTAAAACAGGTTTTTTTACCTCGCTTTGAATCGTGTTCTCCGATGGATCGTAGATCCACGAATCACACTTTTTGGTCACATTACTGAAAGTTTCGTTTGTGCACGCCCCTGTGTGATTTTGTACGACATAACGGATGCATTTGGACGTCTCGGATACATCCGGGACGGAATCAATCATCCAAGGCACGTTGAATTGCGTGTTCGACGAATTCTCGCATCCTGGCACTGTGCACCTGTGAAACGATTATACAGAATTATAAAGAATATTTTTTTTAAGTTATGAAAAGGGATTGAAAAAATTCAAGAGATATTTATTAAAGTATCTATTATAACGTATAATTATTCGTCAAGTTAAATTTAAAAAAAAAAAATCGAAAGAAAATTTTATTAATTTAGTTTAATTTAATTTAAGTTTAGTTTGCCAACGATCAAACATTTCCACGTATTCCAGGATATTTTATTCTGTAACGAGTAGACTACGAATATTTATGCATTCATAGAAAATGTAAATGAACATAAATCTGCAAAATGATATGCAAAAAGACATAAAATATTCAAAATAAAATATTAGGATTATGCATATGAAATAAATGATCAATTTCACAAATCCATTTCATACCAAATTCAAGAATAAATAACTAAATATATTGTTAAATAATATTTGTTACGCATTAATTTAAAAGTTAAAAATAAGATAATTACAATTTGAATATTATTTATTTATCAATTGCCTTGCCTAATTACGATAAAAAAATTTCAATTTGCGTAAAATATCCGTAATCCAGTAATAAATTTATTGAAGAATGTGATAATTTCTTTTAAACGCGCTAAAACTGTTCATACCGATCATTGCAAGCGCGTAACTCTTGTCTACCGCGAAAGGATTAACGGGTTGCTAATAAAGTAATCGATTATATAATTTCGATGTTCGATTAATCTTCGTGGTCGCGGTACATTAGGTTATTCCTCGCTGATTGTATTTGATCGCCGCGCATTATTCAAGCTTACTCTCCAGAATTTACTCGTCCATAAACGGCTGTCTACCTTGAGACGAACGATTCACGATTTAAAAGAGATGCGGATACACATGATAAATTATGCGAAAATATACAAGGAAAAAATGAAGGAGAAAAAAAAATAGATATCACCAGTCGAGTCACAAATTGCATCAGTGGTAACGTACCTGTATTTAACTTCCCCGGCTGTAAACACGTAGGCAAGCGTGAATCCTGCTGACAAGAACAGAGGCAAGCTGATTATCGCGAACATGATCATTTGATAGTATCCGAAGCGATCCACTTCCTGCTTCCTGCCCCCTGCGAAAACACCATTTCCGGACGATCAACGATATCGTTCGATTCACCTACTCGAAAATTCCCATATTCGAGGGAGAAAATGAAAAAGGAAGACGCGAAACTCACGATCTTAACGCAAACAGATTTCAACGGTGAAAATCAAGTGTTTGCTGTTGACATACAATGATACTTTTTTCATGAAATTGCAAAATGGTAAAAATAAGAAGAAAATGGAAAAGAGAAGAACGTGACCTCCCACGCTCTCTTTCTTCGCACGAAAAGATAATTCCTTTTAAATCACGACGAGTTTTGGTTTCACGGCCGAAAATTAATCGGGTAAATCATACGAACGACTATCGGATTCGTCATCGCTAAAACGAACTCTCATTTTCTTTTTCGCGCTTCCTTATCGTCGGTCAAACGGAAGTTGTCGCGTTACGCTTGGCTTAAACTTTGACTAGAAACCTCACTCTAATTCATTTAGTTTAATTGATTTTGTAGGTATTGTTAATGAACAGCGTCGCTAAGTGAATGTTAAGTATCTTTTGTTTTTTCTTTGAAACGAGTCAAACGGAATAAATTGTTTAGGAAAAATGGAATAAGCGGAAAATCGTTATTCTTCGAACACACGTTCCTTATCACACGATTCGAGCAACAGGCGGCACACGATGGTAAATGATTAACTCGAGTTATGATTAATTAAGACCAACGGACGCGTTGAACAAATCATGTCGGTGGCCTGGTACACGATTAATCGACATGATAATTAATACCGCGGCTCATCTGCGATCTGATTTGATCAAGAATGATATATTTATCGAGAAAATATTGATTTTTCTTTAAATTTTTAAACGCAATTTTTAATTCATTAAACACGAATAAATAATTTTCCTATGTTACCTGTTTATTTATATTGCACAGTAATAAAATTAATATACACTTTATAAATTTACATATCTACATGTTTTGCAATAAGAATTATTTCTGAATTTTATTACCTAATTAGCAATTCAACGTATAATAACATCTTACGATTAATAAGAAATTGTGAACTACGTTTCAAAGATTATTTTGTCAAATATCATGTTTAAAACTATCAAGTTCTGAACAAAAATTACTACCGTGAAAACAAGTGAACGTTACCTCTAAAACCATCTTTAGTGTTCATCGTCGACGATTCGTCGTCGTTCTTCACGCAAAATAGCCTCATATTCTCCTTCTCGTCGTCGTCTTTCAACCTGCAAACACAAAGATTCAAGAATTATGCCTGATTCGTGGACAATGTTTCCTCGTTGATCTTACGTCTTGGGTCAAATCGTTGTTGGAACATCAATGGCTCGCATAAAACATGCGGGAACGACGCAATTCTGCACGAGTATTATTACATAAAAGTATCGAACATGATCGAAAAAAAAAAAGAGAAAACTAAAAAAAAAAAAATAAAAAACCAGTTGCTAACAGAACTTTCACGCTTGTCATTCGGTCAGTTCTGCTACAGAAATGAACGATCGACCAAGAGAAATCGTGATCCTTATTCTCGGGTAATCATAACCGCCGTTATGGGAAAAGAAATCGTCGATATAAAACTAACCGTTGTCTAAAATTCTGATGAAACTTCTGATGAAGTTCGCGTTTAAGGTCCACCGATAAATGCCGATAAATCGTAAACGAGATGACCGCGTGCTTGTTTGTTGTAGCGCGCGATCACGTTCAACTGCTCTCGGCGAATCTCGATTTTCTACTGGCTTCGAAGCGGCTGGACAAACAGAGATAGAGGAAAAACCAGTGCAAATGGAGGCGTTCACATCATTCCACTTGCATATACATGAAAACGAACGCGTCATCGAACTTCTCATTGTTGGACTTTTATCGAAAATAACCGAACTTACCGATTCTTTTCGGCATTTTGATTCATTTTTTAACTCGTCTTTGTTGATTTCAGTGATTCTTCGAATGATTGCACGATTTGTTCCTATCAAAGAATCATTAATCGATGTTAATAATATTTATTTAAGAACGACCTTTCTACGCAAAGTGCCATTGACTTTCTAATAGATACAAAAGAACTGAAAGTGTTGCACGTCTTCATTGGAGACATTTATATGCCGTTCATGGCAAACCTTGACGATCTCTTCCCTCGTAATCAAGTGTACGATGACCATTTAACGTTTCAAGGTGGAAATGAGTTGTAACTGCCCTTCAATCTTACCGGATAAATATGGATGCGGATGATGCCATAGAAAATGAGCACATTCTACAGTGTCGTTGTAAATCATCCTGTTTATTGTTATTTATCGCCCATATGTAACCCGCATGTATGTAATTCCGCCGCTTTTTCTTTATTCTTGTAAAAATTTCAGGATAAATAAATTACAACATTATATGCGTGTTGCAATGTTACACATGAAAGATTTAAAATGAAGAATAAATAATTATGATCGAACAGGATCTTTTATATATATATATATATATATATTAATTATAACATTGTTCTTTTCTTTTTTTTATAATCTAATATAATCGCTTCACATGACGATCATTCATAATTTTTATGTATCGTGTAAAAAAACCCGGAGGCGATAATTGGCGAAGATACGGTACGCTGTTTAACATTGTTGCACGCAAAATATTGTCAAAGTATACATGGTTCAAATTGAAAGAATGGATCACGGCTGATCGTATACGTCCTTCATGCGTAATTTCACGTTAGTTTATTCAAGCATGGCGAGATTAACATATATTTTACAATTTAAACGACTCGACGGAATTCTTAATTCTTCGTAAAGAAGTCTACGCGATACTCCATATCGCGTTACTGCTAGTAATCTTTTTAACGTCCTCTTAATTTTTACCACATTGTGCCCCGACCAATTTATACGAGTAGTTACATATGATTAACAATAAAAATGTTTAAAAATCTTTTTTTCGATAAATTTTTACATTAATCTTTATAAATTCACAAAAGATATTTACGGTGCGATTTGTAAATAGGTATTTTTCTCTTATTAATTATCATGATCCATATGGGGGATCGGCTCAAATGAATTAAAGTACGTCAATTGCAATATCGCGAATCTATCAACCGAAACGAGACGGAACCAAACAAATTCAACAAGGGGAATAAACGTAATCGAGTATCTACCTTGAAACGCAGTTCAATTGTGCGTTCAATTGTAACCAACGACTTAAACGCTTCCATCTGATCTCTATTCTTCTTAATTCAACTTACAATTGAATCCGACCAGGTCCGAATGTGACACAATTTTATAGTAGCGTTTAAGCGAAAAGCATAATTGTATCCATTATGACAGTCAACTAAATCAACATCTATCAAACAAGAGATAAATGAATCTAGATCAAATTCCTTGTATATTGTAATGACGATCATGATTCATTCATTCAGATGACTTTCATTCATAACAAGAAATTTAAAATTAAACGTCGAATTATAGAATCCAAAATTTACAAAGAATTGTGAACCGAAAGATTTCAGGATTTATAGAAATGATATTCCCAAAAATATATTCTGTATTTCAAAAGAAATTGAACTCACGATTAAATTGCCCGTTCCCTTGCTCAATGTAATTACTCGAAACAAAGTATCATGTGTGAAACAGGTGTTCAGCCCGTTTTCATTTTCCTTTCACGTCTACGCCATTCTTCAAATGTCCGTTAGTTATATGTGACTAGTTAATTTCGCGACCACAATTAAGTAAAAAAAATCGTGAATCGACACGTGTCAAATGGCAATATAGCACAACGTCAAACGACCACAGACTGTTCTGTTGCTGCAGCAACTGTCTTCCAAGGTAAACGTATGCCACTTTCTGCCTCTGTCCCCGTTGACCATCGAAGGGGCGGTGGGAGAAGTGAAACAGAACGGGGAGGGGAAGGTTCGGTCCTTCTTAAGTTCTGGCCTTTCTGATCAGCAGGCCACACTAGTTCTATCATGTCAGATCGTGCCATGCAGCTTTCACGTGAAACACCGTCGTCCACCATGAAATAACCACTGTCCACTTCGAAAACTTATGGCACGCAGGTTTTGTGTATACAAATAACCAGGTGATAAAGATGTTTGAGAAATGATAAAATATCGTTGACGGAATAGAAATATATTTCGAGTAACTTATTCGATGATTTTTTTTAATTTTGTTTATTTCGATTTCATGTTAGAATAGGGAATAAAACAAGTGATAAATGAACAGATTGTTGCGCAATGATCTATCTATTTAGGGAAAAAAATTGAAAATTCATTATGAATTATAATAATCATCGTTTGTGATTAACGAAGCAATGTTTAAAAACATTCGATGCAGAAAGTGCTTATGTTACGTAAAATATCACCAAAATACATGCTTCACGATTTACTATCGATATCGGTTAATTACTAAAATTCCGGATTTTAACAGTTGTACTTTTCCAAACTATCTAATTACTGATCGTATCTGGCAATTACATAATCTTTGAAGAACATTATGTCAGTCCTTGAGCTTATAGCTGCTATTAAATGATCGTTTAACCGCCATTTTCGCAAAATTTATAATTTTGAAAAATTATCTAACTTTCTTGATATAATTCTTTCAATTATTCGAATCGCTTTTTAAAATTAAAGAAATGATGTTGAAAAATTATTATCTTTTTTGTCTCGAGTTCATTATCTGTTTAAATATTCAAAATATTATTAAAAAATCGAGAAAAATTATTGATAAAAAATGAATTATCCCCTTGAAATAAACATAATTTATTATTTGACAATCCTGACACTTCGTCTCAGGATTATCAAATTCAATATAACTTCAAATATTTTTTGTTAAATATTTCGCTTATGGTTAAAAAGACTGGGATATTATTCATTATCATCCCGCTAATAAAACACGTCAAACCAAATAATCACAATTGCAAACTATAATTTAGAAACGTTTTAAATATTCTGAATCAATGTTCTCCAATCTTCGTCGAATTGCTATCTTTCACATTCTTTTATAATATCTAAATAACGAACGACCTATTCCTCGAGTTATGCTAAAAGTCATTTTTTGCATAAAATTAAAACAAACATAATATTTTATTCTAAATTATGAATTTTAGATTAGATTAGAATTTCTAGATTATTCCAAGATTCTGCAAAAACTTAAAAAAAAAATACTAAAATGTTAAAACCTTAAAAAAAACCAAAGAAATATTTAATATACAATAAACATACGATACAAATGAATGTAATAAATATTCAATTCCTTGTCTCAAAATATTCATTATAAAATTTTGTTAATAAAAATAATTAATAAAAATAATTGAAAGATAATTAAAAAGTTACCAAAAAGTTACAACCATCAAATCACAAATCACTTTAAAAATATTGTTAAAAACCGGGATACTGGAACATCGTTTTCTAAACAAAACGCCTCGTTATAAAAATGGCAACTTCTTCGAAAATGATCTCTAAAAATATCACTACACAAAAGAATAAATTCCCCGGGTCAAACGTCCCGCTACTGTTCTGTTTACGCGGTATGGCGCGCACCGATTATATTTTGAAAAGTGGCGGGTTTTCCTTCGTCTTCGAATATGATTGTTCGAATCACGTGGGCAGAAAAAAACCGTGCATGCACAATTTCCCGCGGTTGACACACATCGATAGATAACACGACCGATAAGACGAAATGTGCACGGCTCACGCTCACGCTCACGCTTACTCATGTGTGCGTATTTTTGTCTTATTCAGTTCATCGAAAACAACCGGAGAAAAATCAAATAAAACTGGTTTACGCCGGCTTAGACCGGATGCGACAGCTTAGTTGCAACTAACGTGCGACGGTTTATTGTTACATCGACCGTTATATGCAACTGGTCTATGGAAAAAAATCGGTTTTTACCCAGGGTTCGATCGGACAAAATTGAAAGCCGATATCAGCAGTCCATTTTCGTTGATCTGTGTCGATCTATCTGGCCCGATTTCCCGTTTCATTCGCCATGTTCCGTCGGATCGACGAAAAAAATGAAATAATAACGAATTTAAATGAAATTGGTTTTTACAATAAAATTTTGTTTTAATAGATGATAAGAAAAAATGGATAGAAGAAATTGGAATTAAATGATATAAAATAAAAAAAAACTTATTATTCGATGACTTACTGGTCAGGAAATAATGAACGGAATAACGAAAGATCGCCATATTAGTGACTATGAGAAATGAATATACAGGAAGTGGAATTTATAATAAATTTCAGATTTGATTTTTGAATTTCAGTTTTTTTTTGGTAGATTTTGTTATAATAATTAAGCTTTTTTCTCTCTTTTTATGTACTAATACATTTCAATTGGATGTGTAAGTTATCATTCCTATTGTATCATCGATATCGATAAATATACAATTGCGTTCATACACTTTTTAACTATAACGTTTGAAATTGATCCATAAATCCCATAACTGAAGGATGAATCTTGTAGAAAAAATAGTGTATCGTATTAAATATCTTGTAATAAAAATAGATTAAAAATTATGATTGCCTTGAGAAGATGAGGATATTATTCTTAAACATGATGATTCTTAAATATTATGATAGTTAATAAGAGAAAAATAAGTACGAATTGTTTGTAATTTTTTTTACTGATTCTGATATTAAATTTTAAATCTAATAAAAAAAAACATAAATTATTTAATGATAATTGTTTGAATTATTTGAATATGATTTATTAATCCGTATTTCGTAAATTATTTGTTATAAATATTCGTTAAAACATTCGATAAATAATTTCTTTCGTAATCGATACAAGTTCGATCATTTTTAGAAATTTGTTTTACATTTTATATTAAAATTCAAATGCGAATGATAAAAAATAAATAATAAAAAGAAACGATTTTTAAAATAAAAAAAAACATAAGAAAGTTAATCATTATTTATAGATTACTTCAACTTGTAGAATCAAATAACGTTTCTTGATCCAATTAAAAAAAAAATTTTGGTGGGGATAGAAAAAAATAAATTAGATAACAATAAACTTTTATCATGATCATTGAAGAAAAGCTGCATTCATTAAATAAATATTAATATATTTATATAGTGACAATTGATAAGTCGCAATTATTTAATATTTTATATAAGAAAATCGGTCATTCTGATAATCTGTTCCAATATAATAAAATAATCATCGATTATAAACAAAATTTTTGAAAAAGTAAATAGGTTTATCACGTTAAAAATTTCATGGAAGATAATTCTCGCTTTGTTAAGAAATCGTTTTGTCAATTTTGGAGTTTAAAACACTAATCTAAAAATAAAATAAGCGGCCCATGATTATGTTTTCGAATATCCATATTAAATTAATTCTAATTATAAATTAAATCTTCAATGAAGTATAAATCTTATATATATCAATTATTTTTTGCCTCGATCGTGCGATGCATATGGTGAACTACATTCATCATTAAGTATTTATCTTCGATTAATACAAAAATTTTATCTGCTTGAGACGATCAATAAAATAAATGAACAAAGAAAAATCGAGACAAACTCAATTATTTATCTTTGAAAAATTACATTTTACGAAGATTGGAAAAAAAATTATTTGTTTTATTTCGTCCAAGTAACATTTTTTCATTCTTTTATTAATAAAAGAATCACTTCACTTAATAAATAAAATTATACAATTTTGTATCGGATCACTCATATTATTCAATTAAAATGAAACAAAAAATATAATCAAAAATAAAATCAAACAAAAAAAAAATGAAAAAAAGCATTCACAAATGGAACACGTGAATTAACACGATTATGAAAAGTCATTTAAATAGGAATAAATTTTATTAATTTAAGAAAAATTTAAATTTTATAAACATTTTGAAAGTTAGTTTCGACACTAATGATTCCCCGCGCGAATTAATCAATGAATTAGTCATCAAGCATAAGGCAAGGTAAATGAGCCCAAACTGGTATGTATCGTAATAGCCCTGATTTCTATTTAATTTTAGCGTATTTGGTTAGATGGTTGACGAACTTTGACTTATAAATATCCATCTTTATCACATGATAACCATCGATAAAAAAAAAAGAAAGCAAATAGATAGAGAAATGTAAATCATGAAACAAAATACCAAGTTTATTAATTAATTTCATAGAAATATCGGGATCCAAATTACGTTATATTATACATTGACAGATTTTAATGAATATTATTATATAAAGTTTGGTATAAAGATTCATAATTAATATCCATTTTTTATGTTTTTTTTTTAATATATTCTTTGTTTATATATCATCACAGTTTGATAGCTAATTGGCTAGTATGATGATTACACTTTTCTTTTTCTACATTTGATTATTTGATGAAATTAATTGTAATTTAAAAATGCAATATATATATATATATGTCCTTGATTGAGTTTTTGTAAAATTTTGTAGAATTTTGTAAGATTTATTCAGTGAATTTTGATATGAAATTCAAAAGAAATAATTTTCTGAGACTATGACATATAGATAATGCGATAAAAATAAATATTATGGAAATTTGAATAATGCGAAATAAATTATATGATATATACATCTAAGTATAGTACGTATCAGTCAGTTTCTCGACTCATTTCATTATTCATCCTTGCGCCAATTATTCCTATAATTCAATGCAACAAAGAAGCGTTGTAATTATCAATTTAGCATAACATGATCTTCAGACCTAGCCATCATTTCCAAGCGGTTATCACAATGATTATCGTAACAGAGTTTTTTTCGAGACAGAGAAATCATCGACCGCGGAAAGATGCGTGTTGCTATTCTTTTTGTCTCACGAAAATATCGAAAGTACGCTTTATTAGCGCGTCGATTAAATACGAACGATATTTATAAAAAAAATTAACAAGATAAAAACGATCACGATACGTCCTCGTTTGCGAAACGTGATAAATAATGTATATACACGTTCCACATATTGATCCATTTTAATCACAAAGAGTATGAAAACATTATTTTTAGACAATTCATGACTGAAAATGATCGTATCTTCAGAGACACATGTTAAATTCGTTTCCAATTAAACTCGTTCATAAACACGATAAAGTTGCGATCGATGATTTGAGAAATTAAAGGAAATTAATCGTTCAAAAATCGCGAAAGTTCAAATCAAATCAAAGTTCGACGACAAACGTATTTGCATACAAATTTCTATGCTACATTATCGAAATTTAACTATACAATGTGCAATTATTCATAAGATCGTTCGTTAACCCTTCATATTATACGCGGCCGACAAACGGAGGAAGAGGAAAAATTTAGGGTAAAAATTTAGAAATAAGTGTATAAAACGCATCTATGTGAATTACTTACATTTTAGATCCCATTTTGGACCCCATAATGCTTCCACGTAGAAATTCGTTTAATGCACACGAAAAGAGAGATCGCCGTTAAAAAGGAAAAATTGTTCCCCTCCGTGTGCGCGGCAAAGGAACTTGTCGAAACTGCTTAACTTCACGTCCAGGATATCTCTTCTTTGTCCTATATTCTCATAGCTCGTGAAGCTTCAAACGCTTGAAAGTTCTTTAGTTATACAGATGTGGCAGAAGAAGTACTAAATAGGAGGACGACTAATATATAGGACGGTGAACAGTATATATATGAAAAAAATCAAGGGAGAAACATGAAACCGTGTGACCACCAATTATGGCACTTTTCTGATTTGGCTCTTTCTTTCTTTTCCTTTTTTTTTATTTGGATTATTGTAAAAGTTAGAACAACTCTTCGCGTCTAAATAACGTTTTGTAGAACATTAGACATTACGTATCTCCTCGTCGGTTCCATCCACGATATCTGTTCAGTTCCATTATGTCTTCTACAAACGCCATTCATTCTACAAGACATCGAAGAAAATAAAACTTACGATGTATTGGTCATGGCTATCCTCCTTGTCTCATGTTGTGAATTCTTGAAAAATCACTAAAGATTACAATACAGATTTGTTGGTGTATTCCGGTTGAATTGATAAACGATTTCAATCTGAGATTGATTAACTATTCATGACTGATCGCATTTCAATAAGATTGATCCCGCGCATAAGCGATACCGATTGCTGACTAAGATTCCGTCACGATTCTTCGATGAATCGTCATGAAGAAACCTTTTCAAAGAGATACATGACTAGAGATATGCGCGCTTCATTTGAAAGCGTCAATATATAATTTTACTGTATGAGATATATATATATTTGTTTACAAAGAATGATAATTTAGATTTTTCGCTAACTCGCAGAAAATATCGGATGTTATTAAACAATTTCGTTTAGGGAAGGAATCTTTATTAAGATTGCAAATAGAAAAATATTGCAATCTTAATAAAATTTGTCATAAAATTTGATCAATTGAATTTAGTTTAAGTTGTTATATTTAGATACTCTAAATTTATTTATTTATAAATCTTTATTTATCTATAGAATATGCACAATTTATTTGTAATCGACTATACATTTTAATTGAATAATTTTTAATCGACTTTTAATTAGTAAATAGTAAATTAGTAAATAAAAATGATTAATGATGAAATTCAAAAATAAAATTAATTTATCAAAATATGATCACAATTTTTGATAATAAATTTTTAATCTTTTATAAGCATTTTAAATTTACATACTTTTTTGTATCCAATTTTCATAATTAATTTTATTAGATTTCGGTAAAATATTGTTGAATCTATTTATCTAATATATTTTCAAAATAAACCGCTCTTTTGTTAGTTCATCTATACATCGTTGAATGGCGTGTACATCTATCTGTATCTTGGAATTTGTTGTTTCTGATCTAAAGAGACGTCTGTCACTGTAATTTATGATATTAATTATGTTCATTGTGTTGAATGTCAACGAAATTGGTTAATTTCCAAAAACATAATTACAAATACAACGATTTCATTCGTTTTTCAATGAAAATACAGTGCATATTCTAACAATTCTATCTTAAATATTTTATCCGGGATGCCTTGACGAAAGAAATTTTATTTCTGAGCTTATTGCATTTATTTTATAAACAAATTATCTTTCATTTGACAAAGTTTATTTAAACAAAAGTGTCAGGAAGCATTTAATGATGTCAGCTACTGAAACTACAGTTATTTTTGCAAAACTAGAAGCATTGAAAGACATTAAGTACATATAAAAATTTGTTCATCTATATGAAATCTTTTTTTAAATATGATATAATTTTTTAAATAATCTAAAAATTTTAAAATATCTATATAACAATATAATAAATAATAATATGATTCAATTTATTTTTTGTGAAAAAAAGCTTTGAAATATATGTATTTTGTTAGGTCAAAAACACTTCAATTGGAAAAAATGAAGCAAAGAATTTTGCAAGAAGTAGAACAGACTGAACAAGAAGAAAAATGTTTGCTGGAATATAAACAAGAAATGGATCTTCTTATGCAAGAAAAAATGGCACATGTTGAAGAATTACGACAAATACATGCGGATATAAATGCGGTAAAAACATGGATTTAATATTGTTTTTCAAATAAATTATATATAATTATTTATGTAATTATATTAGATGGAAGCTGTTATTAAACAAGCAGAAGAAGCTAGAAATAAAGCAAGAGAGACTGCAAAATTAATTCACAATAATGATTATCAACCCTTAAAACATGACATTGATCGTATGCGTAGAGAATTTTTAGGATTGGAAAGATTACCAGAATTATATGAAACAGAATCTGATCTCATTTCACCAGAGTAAGTCAAATATGAAACAAATATATATTATATTCAATTGGATTATTACTAGAAAAATTATTTATTTACAGTTATTTTGACCGTCCAATGCAAAAAGCAGAATGGAGAGTAGAAGTAAGAGGAGAAGATTTATTACCTCCTCTTACTTTACATCATCCTGGTCATCCAGGTGGTTCAACACCTTTTCTTGCTCCTCAACCTCTTCAAGGTCCAAGTAAGCCAGAACCAAGACCATTACCACCAGCCCCAGGTCCACCTGCTCCAACATTCAGGTACCACTGGTATATCGCAATTTTATATTATATTATTATATAATACATAAGTTACAAATTAATTTTAAATCAGATATATATTTAATTTTATATAAATCTCAATGTCATAATAAAAATATACTATATGTATATTAATATATTAGTTTTTATCTTATTTTTATTATTTTATTTTTTTTTTAGGCAACAACCACCTCCTATGAAATCATGCTTATCATGTCACCAACAAATTCATAGAAATGCACCAATCTGTCCTCTTTGTAAAGCTAAATCTCGATCACGTAATCCCAAGAAGCCAAAGAAAAAAGATTAATTATAATTATAAGTGTTATTTATATAAAATCAACCATTTCAGTCATATAATTCAAGAATATACGTTCATGTTTTTTATAACTTAAAATAATTCAATTTCTATAAAAACATGCATTTATATAAAATGTATGTATTTATAGTAATGTTTTTAACTTTTTGTAAAAATTATTTTTCATTTTTACAATATCTATACCAACAATTGTAAGACATTAAATTGTCATAATAATTGATAATTAAATGACTTTTATTTTCATTAAGATATACAAATAAATTTAAATATGTTTTATGATTTTAATTAATTTTCATAAATCTGAAATTGCAATCCTAACTTCTTCATACAATATATATATTGCTTTATTCTTTATTGTATACATTATTTAAGAATATAATTATTTTAGAAAACATATATACACTTTATACTTATTTCACTAAAATTATAATTTTATTTAATTTTAAATGATTATATCAATTATAAAAATTTGAAATTTTTTATTTTGTAAACTTTATGTATACAACCTTTTTAATTTATAATATTCACAATATTTCAAATATAAATTCTCATTCAATTATTTGTGGTAAGTACGAATTAAGATTATTTAATAAAAGGTATTTGCAATTTTTAAATTTCATAGCACCCTTATTTTTAGATATAAATTGAGCAAAATATCAGTCTTTTCATGAAATGAATATTTGTATAAATTTGAAAAATTTAAAATTATATATTTTCTTTTTTATTATAAAATTATTGAGTATTTAAAAATTTATTATACTTGTATACTTTTTATATGCTTGATAATATCAAATTTTTATTTTTTTTTTAGCATAAATATAAATTATTGATAATATTGTACTATATATATAATTTTAATTTTTAAATAAAATTCAAATTATATAGTGATAATTTGATTATAAAACTAAACAAATTCATTATAAAAATTTGTTTATGTGTTTCCTAAAAGCTATACAATCTTAATTATATTCTTTATATTTTTTGTATATTTATTTATAATCTATGTGTTATATATTTAAAACATGATTAAAAATCTATAAAAAATATACTTAAATTTTATATCATAATTTATACATTATAATTCTAAATTGTTGTTCAATATATATTTATATAATCTTATAAAAATTAAAATTTTTCTTTGAGAGTGTACTAATTACTACATTTTATCCCATTCCTCATTTTTATTACTTTTTTGTGCATCATTTAAATCTTGAATATCATTAGATTTGAGATGAACTAATGGAATTTCCATATCTTTTGATAGAATTGTTGCTTTTGGTGGAACTAATCGTTTGTTTACAATTTGTAACCATGACATACATATTATTAATGTTAATCCAGTGATACCAAACGTATGATACGTTCCAAAACGAGTATAAATTACACTAACAAATACTGGACCTAAGACGCGAGAAGCGCATCCAGCACCTGTCATAAAACCCATCCAAACACCTTGTGGGCGAGGTCCTAATACTTTACTGAAGATAGTTTGTATTAGAGTAATACCTAATGGATATCCTATAGTAGTGAATCCATATCCAATAAAAAATTGTACAGGTGTAAGTTGTGGTGTATAACTGCACCATTCTTGAGTACTTGGACATCCTACAATTTCTGTGCCATTGGAATCTTTTGTAATATTATTAAATGCTATAAAATATAATAAATATTCATATAATATTTAAAAATTTATTAAGTATATATTATTTTTAATAATTTTATCTAGCAACTTTAAAATATTATTAATTTGATTTAATATTATTTTGAAATCATTAAATCTAAATATTATATATAATATAAATAAGATGTTATGTTTGTGTGTACTTACATTCTAGATAAGCAATCTTCGGAGGACCTGGTCCCCATGGAATATATAAAATCCTTCCTATTACCATGAATAAAAATCCACCCCATAGCATTACTTTACGTTCATTAAATCTAAAAATATTTAAGAGATAATAAAAAATTATTTTTATAACATTTATATAAATAGTTTATACTTTTTGCATAAAGGTTCAATCATAACAAATGTGATACATGATACAACAGCCCCAATACTCATTAATATACCCATGTAATACAAAGCTTCTGTTTTTGACCATGCAAATTGATCCATAGTTAAAGAAGTACCAAGTCTGTAAAAGAAAAAAAAAGAATGAAAGAAATGATTATGATATAAAAAAAATATTTTATATTTTAAAACTGACGTTTCAAGAAGAACAAAATTAAATACTAAGACAAAAAATGCACAAATTAATGTCCAAGCTGCTAAATTGTCTGGTTTTATAGATTTCAATGTTTCTTCCTCTGTAATAAAAATTTTTTTTAATAATAATCATGATTAATATTTGATTACTATTATTTAATTTAAATATATTTACCAGTTTGTTTTCCTTCATTTCGCATTGCTTCGCGAATAGCAATTCGACGTTCTGTAAAATTCCATGGAAGAAATAAAATAAAATTAAGAATTCCCATTATGACATTTATCCAACCAGTCATAGTATACATATTAATAGGTATATTTATAAAATATACACCCTTTTCTCCAAGAGGTGTAACTGCAGCTTGTAAACTAGGACCTACCACAAATCCTAATACCTAACATATTTTAGGATAAGTTATATAAAAAATTATATTAAATTACATGAAAAAATATTAAATTTACATTACCTGAGCAAGAGATACCATTGAAACAGCATGTGTCCTTTCTACAAATTTTGTAGCTGCTGAAAGATAAGACCGTGCTACTGCAATATTAGCTAAAAGTATCATATTATGAAAATAAATAATAAAATTTTTATATTAATTAATATTATTACAATTAAATAACATATTATTATTACCAGAACTAATTCCAACCAAAAATCTGGCAACGATCATATACATTTTTCGATCGCCTGGTACAATCTCAAGAATACTATATAATCCTGATGCAAATGTAAATAAAGCTAATGTTGATAAAAGTGGAAGTCTTATAGATCCTCTTTTATCTCCCCACCATCCTACTAGAGGAGAAAATAACATTTGCCCTAAAGGATTTGCTGCAACTACATATCCCATATATTCTTTACCAGCAGAACTATCCAACTACAATATTGATATATAATATTACTACATGTCAAAATTCATCTTTATTTTTCCCTTATTATATTCACCTTATCAAGATATGGCCATACTCCTGTTAGAATAATACTAAAACCCAAAGACATAAGAAACATAGTAAAATAAATTACATAAATGCTTCTCCATCGTTCTTTTTTCTCAAAAACTGTTTCCAAATCATCATCCACCAAAGTATTGTTTCTATTACAATAAAAATAAAACTTATTATTTATGATAAAAATTATTAAATATTTAAAAATTTTATAATATAATACCTTCTGTGAAATAATTTTTTACACCAAGCCATTAAAAGTTATCATATAAAATTTGTATAAAATAATAAATTATACTTATATTATATTCTTCTTATAAAATTATAAATTCTTTTGTTTTAATTATAAACTTAAATGTAAATTTTAATTTTTTCCTTTTTCTTTCTCTCTCCAATTTTTTTAAATGTTTTTTAATTTCAATGATAATTTATAAATCTAAAGAATGATAAAATATGTTATTTTAATTTATTAAAAATAATAAAAATATATATAATATATTTTAACATATTTTAATATATAAAAATATATTTTAATTTTTAAAATTTTTAAAGAAATAATTCATATTTATCAAATCAGATATGATATTTATATTAAAAAATAATTGTTTTAAATAAAATGTTTAAAATAATATTTTAAATAATTTAATCTCATTTTATTAAAAATTTTTTTAATATTTTTTAAAGAGGATATTTAAAGAGGATATTATTATTTTAAAAATTTAAAAAATGAAATGTTACTTACTTTTTTCAATGATTAAACTATTGTTATAAATATTTAATCATTTATAAATGATATTATCATTTAATCATTTATAAATGAATAATAAATATATTACAAATAAAAGATAATAGAATATAATATTTTATATTATATTTATTACACAATTCTTTTTTTAAAATTTGCGCACACGCATGTCATTTAAAAATATTATAACTGCATTAAATTCGTGAACTTAAATAAAATTTGTATTCTGCATTATTGCGAATGTATAGAATTTATCCATATAAAGCATTCATTTGTTAATCACGCGAACAATGTACACTACAAGTTAGATTGATATATATCCGAAAGAAAATGAAACGTTCAATTGACTGACTCTGTAACTATGAAGCATATGTTTTTCAATATTTATATACATATAAACTTATATATACATATGTATATATATATATATTATCATACATTATAATCACATTCTGATACTATGTACTATAATTTTCTAATTATTTGTAACTTTTCTTTCAATTTCTTAGATATATCTTTAAACATATAATTGATATGTGATATGTAATTTTTTATTTAATAAAATTTAATATATGGCAAAAACAAAAAATCACATGTTCACATAACAGCTGATGGACTCATTTCCGCCTTAAATATACAATATAAATGTGTATATATACATATAGATTCATACATATATATATATATATTCACATTGTTCATACAAGATAATTATGTTATTTAAACATTATATCAATAAAAATTAGCAAACATTAGAAGTCTTATCATATTACTATAGAAAATCTAATAGTTAGATAATACAAATTATTTATTAAATTAGATTATATATTATAAAGAAATTTATAACAATCTTATTCATGAAAAATAATTAAATATTTTTATAAAGTTTGATACAAAATTATAATGTATAAATTTAAATCAACTTTGAAGGTTAAATTTTTTTGATTTTTATTAAATAATGCAATGCAAATTAAATATTAGTTTTTTTTTAAATTATACAATAATCAAATGTAAAATATATTACAATTTAAAAGATAAAAATATTTTTATATAACAAAATTATATAAATTCAAATAATGCTTTATTACATAACGAATGTTGAATTAGTTATAAAACTATTTACAAAAAATTTATTATAAAATTTACAAAAGTTTTTTCATAAATTTAATAATTATAAGGTCTATAACGTTGAGAGTGATATCTATCAGAATTTCTATATATTTCACCCCTTTCTTGGGGAAAAAAATATCTTTTTCTTCTAGGATACCAAGGATCAATGATTGGAGGTTTTTTTAATTCCATATTTTTAACTTTCATAAATTCAATATCTTTTTCAGTATATCGATCTTTGAATTCATTTTCACATTCTTCCAAAAACTTCTTTTGTTCATCAGTTAGGTTTTTTTCTTCCATAATGTCTTTTGTCTGTAAAAAATAACAAAAAATATCATTTTAAAAATAAGAACAATATCTTATCTAAATTTTGTATCATAATTTTTTTAATTCTATATATTCATAGATATATATAATATAAAGTATAAAACATTGATATTAAAATTTATTTATAAAATTTTTTTATATTTTTCATGCAATAACAAGAATATTATTATTTATTTATTAATATATTTTTGAAAAACTTTTTAATTTTTATTATGTAATATTTATTTATTTATAATACCTCTAAATAATCTACTGATTATTTAATTTAGACTTTTAGTTTATAAAATAATGAATTGTGTTAGTTGGCCAAAAATTAGTCACTTCCCATAAACAAAATTTTAGTTTGATAGGTTATACTCATGTTTAGAGAAGAATTGAATTTTGTGTCATATTATTATTCATAATATATAAAATTATATTTTCTAATAAATATTATTATTTTAAATTCAATTATATATGTTACACACATTATCATAAATATAAAATAAGTTTGTAAAAATAATTTGTATAAAGAACCAATCATAGTTCAAAGCATGATATAGAAATTAAAAAAATAAAGAATAATACGTAAAATGATAATTTATTTAAACTATGTTATTTATTAAAATTATATTAAATATATTAGTATTAAAATAACGCTATACATATAAAATATACTCAAATCATAGAAATAAATAATAAATTATGTGAAACAAATGAAAATCTATATGCTATATTTTCTACCAATATAACATAGCATTTTCATATAAATGAGCTTTAAAAAATTTTGGCGGTACAACCGTCAGCATATATGTTCTTATACTTATGTGTGTGCTATTTAGCTGAAATTTGTTATACGATATTCATTAAAAATACCAAAAAGTATTCATTTATAATTATTTATAAAGTTAGAAATACATTCCTGGTGTATTTATTTCGATTTAAATATAAAAAGTTTTTATTTTATAAAAAATAATATTAATAATAGATAAATTCGATAAAAATAATCGATTTTATGCAATATGATATCTACTATTATACCAAATACCGAAACTTACGAGATAGAAAAACAAATACAAGTTGAAAATGATACGGAAGAACAACAAATATCTTTAAATAATTGCATTATAGAAGAAAATAAAAACGCAGGTAAGAAATAAATGATATTTTCAATGAAAGTTCTACTAAATAATAAAGGTTAAATTTAATTTATTCTTATTAGTGATTGATACTATGATACTTGAAGAAAGTAATAATGATAGAAAAAAACTTCGTAGTGGGAAATATATTAGTATGAAACCCACATCTGGTTTGAACAAAATTAATGGAGATTTAAATAAATATGGATTATCACAACAAAGAATGCAATCTGTTAAAAAATCTGTTAAAAGAAAAAGTAATGGAGCTGAAGAGTTGGAAACAAAATTTCCTATGTTAACACAAAACGAAAAAGTAATATGTGATAATAAATCTGATTTTACATTAAAACAAATGCAATCAGATTCAAGTGATGAATCTGAAAGTAATATTCTTAAAAAAAATAAAACTGAAAATAATAATATAATCAATACAGAAGAATCAAAAATAATGCATCAGAAACCTCTTAATGTTCATCAAAAATGTGAATATTGTTGTCAAAAATTAACAAGTATAGATATAAAAATATATCCAGGTCATCCTAATAATGCAGTAGAAGAAATGATTGCATTAACAGATCCTAGATTATCTTTATTCACAGGAGAAGAAATTGTAATTCATGAAAGTGATGAAAGGCCTCAAAATAAAATTACTCATTTCTGGTAAAAATTCTTATAACAAAAACATAGATAATAAATTTCTTATTATATTATGTATTATTTATTTTTATTTTTCTTTTTATAGTGTTTATGATAAAAATGGACATTTGTGTTCTTTTGATACTGGTTTGATAGAAAAAAATGTGGTACTTTATTTTTCTGGATATATGAAACCTATTTATGAAGAAAATTCATGTCCAGAAGGAGGTGTGCCTACAAAAGACATGGGACCAATAAATGAATGGTGGGTGTCAGGATTTGATGGTGGTGAATTGGCACTTGTAGGATTTACTACAGCATTTGCAGAATATATATTGATGGAACCTGCTGAAGTATATTCACCATTTATGGATTCTGTAAAAGAAAAAATTTACATGAGCAAAATAGTTATAGAATTTTTACTAGATGAAATCAATCCTACATATGAAGATTTGTTAAATAAATTACAAGTAAAAATTTTCATTAAGATTTACAGCACTTTAAGCAATATATTTTAACTTTTAATCTATAACTTCTATTAAAATATATTTTTTTAGACTATAGTTCCACCAAAAGGATTATCTAGGTTTACAGAAGATTCTTTATTACGGTATGCACAATTTATCTGTGATCAAGTTATTTCCTTTGATGCATCAGCAAGACCAGAAGATCCTTTGTTAATTACAAGTCCATGTATGCGAGCATTAGTGACTCTCGCGGGTGTAACATTAAATAAAAGGATTGCATTACGCAGAACGCAATCTAGAGATCAAAAAAATAAAAAACTACTTGGACGAAAGCTACAACCACAAAATTAGTTAATAATATGTTTGAAACATTTTTCTCTGATCAAATAGCTACAAATAATGACAAAGAAATATCGGTATGTAATGAAAATATTAATATTAAACAATATTTTAATATAGTAAATATAATGTATTATTACAGGGGCCGAAAAGACATAGATGTGGAATATGTGAAACTTGTCAGCAGCCAGATTGTGGAATTTGTACAGCTTGTAAAGATATGATCAAATTTGGTGGATCTGGAAGAAGTAAACAAGCTTGCAACAGAAGAAGATGTCCAAATATGGCTATACAAGTAAAATATTTTAATAAATATTTTCAATCTTTAATCTAATATAAAATAATTTATTTTATATTTATATTATATTATATTATTTTTAACATATAAGTGAGGAAATTTTAAATAATTATAGGAAGCTGATGATTCAGATCAAGAAGATGATGATTTTAATGATACATTAATAGAAAATACAAAAATTACTCAAAAAATGATTTTAAAGGAATTTAAACATGTAGAGAAAGAAATTACATGGGTGGGAGAATCTATAATAAATGATGGTCGGAGAACTTTTTATAAATCAGTTATGGTTGTTGATGAAGAATAAAAGCTAATGATTATGTTTTAATTGAATCAAATGATCCCACTGTACCATTACAAATAGCTAAAGTCATTTATATGTGGGAAGATAAAAATGGTGCAAAATTGTGTCATGCTAATTGGTTTCGAAGAGGCAGTGACACTGTACTTGGTGAAACATCAGATTCTTTAGAATTATTTTTACTTGATGAATGTGATAATGTTCCATTTACTTCAGTTAAATCCAAAGCTACTGTTATTTATAAAACTAATTCAAAAAATTGGAATGAATTGGGTAATTATATTTTCTATTCTTGGAATTTTATATTATTATTATAAATTAAATATCAATTAATTATATTTTAGGAAATGCAGATATATTACCAGAAGATGAAATACAAAATAAAGATGGAAAAACATTTTTTATCAAAAAAATATATTCCAGAAACAGCTCGCTTTGAAGATTGTTCTTTGGATCCTGAATGCCCGCGAAAAGAAATCAGTCATCGATTTTGTCCTGCTTGTATACGTTTTACTACATTACAATGTTATTATACACCAAAAGTTTTTGATCGGGAAGAAGAGAAGAACAGCAAAGAAGTGACATATAATATAGTAAAATATAAAAATGAAGAATTTAGAGTTGGTTCTGCTGTGTTTTTAATGCCAGGGGCCATAAAATATAAATATACATCTACATATCACATTTCTCAAAAAGTGAAAAAGGGAAAAGTAGATGAAGATATGTACCCTGAATATTATCGAAAATCATCAGATCATGTAAAAGGATCAAATTATGATACCCCAGAACCATTTCATATTGGATATATAAATTCAATTTATGCGACAACTAATAATAAATTAGTTGCATCATCTGATATATGGATTAAAATAAATAAGATGTATCGACCAGAAAACACTCACAAAGGACTTACATTAATGCAACAAGTTGATCTTAATATGGTATATTGGAGTGACGAAGGTAAAATATTATTAGAAAAATAATAACATTAAAAAATTATATAAATTAATATAAATTATTGCATTATATAAAATATTAAATTATATATTATAAACATTTTAGTTTGTGATATTAAGTTTTCGGATGTAGCTGGAAAATGTTATTTGGTATATTCAGAAAATTTAGATCAATCTGTAGAAGAATGGACTACTGCTGGTCCATATCGGTTTTATTTTTCTCAAGCATATAATGCTTCAGAAAAAACATTTGTTGATCCACCATACTATGCTATGAATATTGGAAAATTGGGAAGTGGAAAAGGAAGGGAAAAGCAAAATGTAAAAGTAAAAAATTAGAAACAAGTGATAAAAAAGTAATTGATAAGCCTATAAATTATTGTAAAGTGTCAAAAAAGTTAAAAACATTAGATGTTTTTGCTGGTTGTGGTGGTTAGTATAATGTTAAAATTGAATTGCAAATGATTAAAGATTTTAAATTAAAATGTATATTATAGGATTATCTGAAGGATTGCGACAAGCTGGTATTGTAGACAATCAATGGGCAATTGAAAAAGATGAACCAGCTGCATGTGCATATCGACTCAATAATCCCAATACAACAGTATTTTGTGAAGATTGCAATGTACTTTTACGAAAAGTTATGAATGTAAGTTTAAAAAAGAATAGATAATTAAATAATTTGATATATATATAATATAAAATATTTTTTTATCTTTTTAGGGTGATCTTTGTGATAATAATGGACAACGCTTACCTCAAAAAGGGGAAGTAGAATTATTATGTGGCGGTCCACCTTGCCAAGGTTTTAGTGGCATGAATCGTTTTAACTCACGGCAATATTCTCTATTTAAAAATTCTTTAGTAGTATCATGTTTGTCTTATTGTGATTATTATAGACCAAAATTCTTTATTATGGAAAACGTTAGAAATTTTGTATCATTTAAAAGAAGTATGGTATTAAAATTAACATTAAGGTGCCTTGTACGAATGGGTTACCAATGTACGTTTGGTATTTTACAAGCTGGAAATTACGGTATTCCACAAACAAGAAGAAGGTATCATATTCAACTTATATC